ACAAACATGTCAGCCGAAACTGCCCTTCAAAGAAATCAATGTAATCCCCTTTCCTTGTGTTGATCATGATGTTTCCTTCCTCCCTGCTTCAGGTGTCACATCATCACTCAGTTCAACCAGGGCTTCTACGACTACATCATCGCCACAGATGAACAGAGTTTGGCCGACCCCGCTGCTGCTCCACTGCCGACGGCAGGCAAAGGGAAGAAGAAGAAGAAGAACACAGACAAGGGAGGAAGGTGAGTCAATTGAGAGATTTTCTTTTATCAACCCTGAACACTCTTTAGTACAATAGACAATGATCGGGAGAAGTCAAGGGTGATACAATATGGCTTATCAAATACGGCACATTAATTTATGTCATATGCAACTTAACTGCAAACATTACCTTTTTAAACGTCCCGGCTCATAATGTTACCTACCACCCTTTATGTGTTAGAAAACCAATAAGTGTTGATTTTGGTTCTTTCATCAGATAATGAACGGACAGACTTTTCTGTGTTCCTTTTCATGGCATTTGTACATTTTTGTTGACTTGATTGGTATTTTTCTGTTATTAAAGGGCGAAGGACAAAGAGTATGGAGTCTCCAGAGGGGTGGACTTCCAGAATGTTTCAAATGTCATCAACTTTGATTTCCCCATGACTGTAGAATCATACATTCATCGAGTTGGGAGGTGAGCAGTGTTTCAGTTCAGTCACACTTCAGGATCAATGATTCATGAGGGCACCTTCTTCCTAACTATCAAATCCTGATTTGGTATTATTGTTTTTTGTAGAACGGCCCGAGCAGACAACCCCGGCACCGCTCTGTCCTTCATCTCTCACACGGAGATTGGTGTGCTATCAGAGGTGGAGGACGCTCTCACAGGAGGTAACCAGGACTTCTTTTAATACACTTTGAGTCTAAGCCTTTAGCCATGTGGCCAGTTTTAATATGAAACATGTATTTTGTTTTTTAGATACGTCTGATTGTGTTCTAAAACCATATGAGTTTAAGATGGACGAGATTGAGGGCTTCAGGTACAGGTGCAGGGTGAGTATCCTCCTCATATCTGTGACTAACCAAACAAAGCCAAACAGGATCAACCATCTATTTGGATTAAAACTCCAGCATGGCGAAAAAACTATAGCGTTTGGATGATGAACGTTTCTGGTGTTTGTATGCAGGATGCCATGCGTTCAGTGACAAAGCAGGCAGTGAAGGAGGCCAGACTGAAGGAGATCAAACAGGAGCTGCTCAACTCAGAAAAACTCAAGGTGAGTGATGGCCACTGTTTTTTAGGAGAGAGAGTTGAAGTGTGAGGACATGTTGTGATTTGATGTCCCTGCTGTCTCTCAGACATATTTTGAGGACAATCCCAGAGACCTGCAGCTGCTCAGACACGACAAAGACCTCCATCCTGCTGTCATCAAACCCCACCTGAGGAACGTGCCCGACTACCTCAGTAAGAGACACACTCAATAACACCTGAAATATCAGTTTTAGTGAAATCTATATTTAGAATACCACTTTATAATATATTTGCTCACAAAGTATTGCATCTTTAAATAGAAATACTCAATTAAACTAAAAAGTACATTTACATTGTACATGGTAAATGTCAATCATTTGTAATTAATCATTTCCCCCTGCCGTTCTCCAGTTCCCGAGACACTGAAGGGCGTCGTGAATCCGCTGTCAAACAGGAGGAAGAAGAAGAAGATGGTCAAATCAAAACCAGATGGGGTCATCAAGAGCAGCTTCAAGGTGAGACCCAAGAAAAACAATCTGTTCAAATTGACTGAATCCCATAAAGGGAACTGGTGACAGTTTTCGATTCAACACCAGCCAGAAATCAAACCTGGAAAAGAGATTAAACCCCTCAATGCTCACCTGGTACAGGGTTCGATTACAACTTCTAAGGGTTTTAGTTCTCTGGGATAAAAATGGCTAGCTTGCCAGAAAACCTTTCTTTTGCTTCCTGTGCATTATGTTCGGAGGAGATGGTACCTGGGCAAGAAAAGATTTCAGGATCTCTAGCATTTTTCAGAGAGGATTAACGAACAAGCAGCAAACATCTAACGTAACCATAAGCGGTGGCATATATAAACAGGGAATTGAGCAGAATAACAGCAAGTTGAGGGCAACAAGTATATGCTTAATCAAATCATCACTTACTTTAAACTATTTAATAATGTCTAAATTCTGTTAATGCATCTGTCCTAAGCAGGGGTTAAATTGGGGGGGGGGGGGGTTGTCTCATTATTTGACCTTAAGGGCTTACAAGTTCTACAAATAAATTAGTTTACATCTTAAATTATTAATATATACACACTTTTTTTGGAGCAAATATCCAACCTTCAAATTGCTTTTTTAAATCAACATTGCTCTGCACACTTGCTAAAGAACATTTGTGTGGTAATCTCAGTTCATTTGTAGGGCTGCGCGGGTATGCCCAAAAGTATGTGAGTTAATCTCACTGGAAATGATTTAATTATGACTCTGCTTTATGCACACACATACATTTAGCATGGTTTAGGAAACGAGCTCCGTGTTACAAGACGGCTCGGGTCGTTTGGCGGCACCGCCGCAGACTCTGTGTACACACACACACACACACTGCCGCAGACTCTCTGTGTACACACACACACACCGCCGCAGACTCTGTACACACACACACACACACTGCCGCAGACTCTCTGTGTACACACACACACACCGCCGCAGACTCTGTACACACACACACACACACTGCCGCAGACTCTCTGTGTACACACACACACACTGCCGCAGACTCTCTGCATGGAGGAGCAGCGGAGTCCGGGCGATGCTGCTCCTCCAAGGAAGAGACACATGTTCACTAAGCCGAACAAACTATATCTGGTCAAAGAGACCTGTAAAGTAAACACATATCGACCCTAAATATAGTCTATCTTAAGAACGAGAAACGTTTTAACATATATCATTTTTTGTAAACATATGACAAATGTGCGAGGGTGAGCGATGTCAGAGCATCGTCCTATGTGCCGCGGCTGAGCCCCGGACAGCCCCGGCCCAATTGAACCCCTGGTCCTAAGTAGTTGTTTACCCACGATTTTGAACACCTTATATGCCATTGAACATAATATGAAAATGAGCTGATTATCTCACATAGAAATATGTTGGAGAGTTGCTAAATGTATGGTTTCAATCTCTTCTGATAGAACATCCAGGGGAAGAACCCACTGAAGAGTTTCCGATACAGCGCCGGGAGGAACAGGAAAGACACACCAGTCAAGTCCTAGCCGGAGCTGCAGTACACAGAGTGTATCAGTCCTGGAGGTTATAACTGTGCAGAAACCCAGGGGACCGTTCTGATCCAGTGTCGGCCCGGACGAGACAAATATAAACTGTATTGACTTTGGATGAAATGGGCTGTTGAGTCTATATGGCCCACGGAGGAAACGGACGATGAATGCAGACTTATTTGAACTTTGAAACGAAGAAAATGCAGGAGACATCCGTTTGAACTTGGATTTTGTCAAATCTAAACATGATATATCGTCTGTTGAGGAATACAGTATCTGTATCATCTTATTTCTAATGCGTCTGTTCTAAAAACATTGACATTTTGATTAAAATAAAAGTATTTCTTCTCAAACGTTAAGCATTTATGTTGTAGTTCTTATAGATCATATTTTCTATGCAAACATGTTCAGTTGCAATTAATAACTTGTAGTAAACACAACTGAGCTGATTGGGAAAAATAAACCAAAGTATTGGACACATTAAAATATTAACCACATTTTATAACAATCTATCCAGTAGTTTCATTTTGTTGAGGTATAGAATAGCCCCTTTCAAATCTGTCAGGAAAAGAGGTAGGGAAAGTAAGGATTTAAATCTGACACACCTGTGAGAGAAACACTCACAAATGCAGAAAGAAGGGATTTATTCCAGTTTTTTATATCTTTGCTTAAAAAACGATTGGTTGTGACCCATGAAATGTGAACAGTGGCAGTTCCAGGAACGAGCTTGATTTCCTGGACTTGCACTGGGCAACAATCCTGGAAATGTTCTGATCCAGGGGGGGGGGGTTTTGATGAATCATGATTCTCTCAGATCTGCTTGGATTTAGACTTCCTGTTCTTTGTTGGACTTACAACAGTTAAAATATGTCTCATTTCGTCCAGTTTCAATGCCTTTCCTATTCTCCTGCATTTACATGACAATACTTTACCCATCAGCCAAATTTAACCTAATTGTCCTTCTCGTTACTATTGTAAATTAAAGCCCCCAAACACTGCCGCACAACATGAAGCCTTAAAGTGGACCTATCATGATATTTTTAGGCAGTAGCATAGGTCTCATATGTATAAAAAACATGTCTATGAAGTGTTTTGCTCAAAATACCAAACCGATCTCCCATTCTATCCATGCCTCATATCCCTCTATTTCACTTCCTGTTTCGAAAGTGCTGATTTTGGGTATAAAGCTTTAAAAAAAAAAAAAAGGGAGGGGGCTGAGCTCATGCGGGACCCGGCAGCTACTGTCTAAACTAAATACTGCAGTGATGAAACGCCATATCATGGATTATCAAGGATTATTTCTGAAACAGTATGGAGCTCAACGGCTTTCTCTCTTGCCGGTTATACCACAAGGTGAGTACCTTTTTATTTCCTGCTTCTTCACACACATGCTCTCCAGTACAGGTTAGCTCTGAGTGTTAGCGATGCNGAAAAGAAGAGCAATGGTTTTAGAGATTTTTGCCCCGATGTTGCTTCGACTAGGTCTAAACGATGAGGCTATACTGCAGTGGTAATACCCTTTACACCGACCGAAAATGTGGGCGCCGGGATGACGTCTTTGTTACGGGCTGACACAACAAACCTGCATTAGTACCAGCCACGATTTTCTGATGCTGCGTCAGTTCCCTGACACACCGGGGACACATTTATGTATAAAAGTCATCAAAAAGTGCATTTTGCATGATAGGTCCCCTTTAAGTCATAATTAGAACCACAACATCGTACACAATCTAAAGTTACTTTTTTTGTTTGTATGTTTTAATCAAATGCATTCAGAAGTACATTTAATCAGTTGAACTGAAGCCATCATACTGTAAAGCAATTAAGAAACATAAAGATATACAGACATTTCAAATGGAGAGGTACCTAATTATTTCCTGTTTGTGTTGTGACATGTTTGTTGTTTTATTAAAGCCAAATATCTTGAGCTGTATAGTGTATTTTTAGCACAATCTTTTATTCCAGATCAATTCTCTGTATGGAAATTTCCCAAAACAAATTTGTATTACGGACATTCCCTTAAAGTCTCCGCTCACAATGTTCCCCGAATCCAGTATTTTGAGCGCTAAATAACTTGTGTGCTCTGTGTTTTTAAAGCTGTGAGGATGCAGCAATCAGAAGCAGTTAGTAAGGTTTTACATGGATGTTGTATCACTGAATGTAGAAATCAATCAATAGTGTATTCGAAAGGATAGTCCTGTGTGGGCGCCGAGTCAAAGTTAAAGCTATCGAATGGATTCTCTGTCATCCAACTGTCCGGAAACCAGGATTCATACCAGGAAGTGGTTCTCTCGGTCTTAGGTTCTGTTGTGGGGGCTGTAGTTGTGGTCGTCGTCGTCGTTGTTGTGGTTGTTGTGGTTGTTGGAGTAGGTATGGTATTGAGACCGCCTCGTAACCTCTGCAGACGCAGACGGCGTAAACGCAAGATCTTGAGCCGCCTGAGTCGCTCTGCCTTCTGGAGTCTGGCGTGATCGTCGACGGTGGTGGCCACAGGGCTTGGCGCTGTAGTTGTTCTCACCACAGTTACTTTGGGGACAAGTCGGATGGGCCTCTTGCCGTGGAGCTTCATGATTTGTTTGATGCGGTCCCAGTTTGATTTGGCTAAGGCGAAGCTGCATGAAGTGGCTCCAACGTCGTAGCCCACCATGCATATTCTGGTCTGAGGGGTGTAGCCGTCAGCTCTGGCCGTCACTCTGTACTCTCCAGGATTCAACAGACGCCAGTAATCACCACCTAAAGCTAGAATGAGTGTAGGGCAAAGGTTACAAGCTGACATTCTTGACCAAAAAGTCTAATAAATACGTGTCTTTGTGGTTTTCCACAACATACCAGTTCTGACATCATGGTGTATTCCCTCCACAGATATTGTGGCATTGGGCAGCGGACCTCCCTCCACGTCTCTCACTACACCCTTTATTCCTCGATTTACCTGAACAGAAAACAGCATTTCAGGTTTAGCCTAATCATGGTTTATATTACTTTCAGTGGGACCTATTCACTAGTCTATCAACCAAGGAAATATGCAAACATCATGGGGATAAAAACATTAAACGTGCCAATGGAGGCTACCACCACTGCAATTCATTGCTACCAACACAAGACTGAACAGACCACACCAGTTTCAATGTGAAGGATAGAAAAGCAGCTGTCAACAGCCACATATCAAGTCTACAAACATGGGGAATTGATCTCCAAAGTATTCTGACTAGAGTTTAATCTATACTCATCAGTCCAGTTCTCACTTGTTCGATGAAGGACAACAGAGCCTCGCGATTGTTCTCCCACTCCAGAGGCAGTTCACTCTCATGGGGAAACTTGTCACAGCCCAGGAAGATGGACAGCTCGAAGCAGTTGGTGTGCAGGTAGCTGAAGTCATTCATACCTGTGGGAGAAAAAAAGCTGTAAAGGGAGCTTTGATAAAGGATCAGTGCTGTCTAGATGATTATTTTATTAGTCAAGGTACTCTTGAGGCATCTGCACCTTGATACATTGTTATTTAAATGCATCAATGCATGCCATTTGTAATATACAAACAGCAACATGACCTTCCAACAACAATTAACTATTTTCCATCAAGCTTAGAAATACTGATACTATGAGATGTGTAGATTTTTTTTGTAGAAAATAGAGAGGGTTGTGTTTTCTGACACTTGGTGAGTTCCCTGGAACACCGGGGACACATTCATGTATAAAAGACGTACAAAAGTGCATTTTGCATGATAGGTCACCTTTAAGCTATCATCTATGGTGGTGTGTATAGGGTTAGGGTTATGTACTTGATGGGGACCTTGGGAATGCCAAACAGATTAAATGGTCTTTGGATACCACTAGGAATAAATGGATTAAGTCATTTGCTCTTTCATTGTTGCACAGTTGTTTGCACTGTTACAATTTCTTTGATTCCCTCTTGTGTCAACACTTACTGCCCACCACTGGATCCCAGTTGGCTCTGTTGGTGATGCCTTGACCCCCAGTGACATCATCGCCATGGCATGAGCCTCGGTATGTCTCCGTCATGGTCACATGGCTGTGGGCGTATGACATGGCCAACCATCTGAACATGGCGTCATCTGGCGTCTCTCGCAGAGACCCCTCGTTCTGCCGCTGAATGCGAGCCCACGTCTCCTCGTTCATGTTAGAGTTATCACTCCGTCGGCTATCCGTAGACTTTGACAACATCAAAGGATTAATGTGTTATTATATGCGAGTAAAACTCCTGAGGTGATCTATATGTGTTTAATAAGATTGTATTTGTGAAACAGCCTTACAGAAATTGGTTGACGCTGCATGTCAAACGGGTAGGCGACCATTTTTTCTCCTCCTTGCAAATTTGCTCCCAGCACAAATGGGGTACGCTGCATCCAGGCAATGATGGATTTTGTTTCAGTAGCAAACTGTGAGAGGAAAAAGAAAAGTTTGAGTTTCAACACATCTTGTAGGGTTAACGTGGTTTATGGGTCCTTGGTGGCCTTGAACAAACTCACAGAGCCATTGAGGACATTTTCTGTGTGGGGAATGTGATGATTCGGCACGATACGAGGTACCCAGCCTCTGTCCTCAGCTCCCCAGAGAATGCTGTTGAGGTCTGGGAAATTCTTGAAGATGTCGTAACCTTCTTCGGTCCAGTGGCCCAACGCCCAATTCCCCATCTCTGAGCCCTGAAGGACAAAAAGGAAGACCATGTTAGGTCTCAAAGAATGGTTTTTGCATAAATATGAAGCCTTTTAGCATCAGTAAATACACATGACCTTTCTATGGAAAAAACAGGATGCAGGCCCTAAAGGCTACCCTACATGCTGGAAAACTTGACAGCATGAAACTGGTGCCCATATTTATTTCCCTCCTGGCCCTTAAAGGTCCCCTATTATACTGGTTTTCATCAATATATTATAGGTCTCAGATACATACAAAACATGCCTCTGAAGTGTTTGTCTGAAACACCAAACAGATTATTGCAGCATCCCATAATCCCCTCTGTTTCAGCCCTGTTTCAAAAGTGCTGATTCTCTGTCTGTTACTATAGATGAAAATAAGTAGCCACTCCCCACGCCCCTCTGAGAGATATTTGGTTAAAAATAACACATTGGTGCTCTAGGAGGAGATTCAGGTGATAAGGGTGGGGGGGG